CATCCCACCAGCCTGGCTTGGATCACACCCAGGGATGGGACTGCACCTGCCTCGAGATGAGGTGAAATCCTGGAATGGGTTGGGCTGGAAGAGACCTTAAAGGTCATCCAGTTCCACCCCCTGCCATGGACAGGGACACCTTCCACTAGCCCAGCTTGCTCCAACCTGGCCTTGGACACTTCCAGGGATCCAGGGGCAGCCACAGCTTCTCTGCCCAACCTGGGACAGGGTCTCAATACCCTCACAGCCAGGAATTCCTGCCCAATATCCCATTTAAATCTCCCCTTTTCCAGTGGGAAGCCATTCCCTGTGTCCTGTCCCTCCAGGCCTTGTCCCCAGTCCCTCTCCAGCTCTCCTGGAGCCCCTTCAGGCCCTGCCAGGGGCTCTCAGCTCTCCCTGGAGCCTTCTCTTCTCCAGGGGAACCCTCCCAGCTCTCCCAGCCTGGCTCCAGAGCAGAGGGGCTTCAGCCCTTGGAGCATCTCTGGGGCCTCCTCTGGACTCATTTCATTTTGCTGCAGGAGTGAACAGCCCCCCCAGATGGTTCCAGAGCAGCGAGAGGGCTCTGGGTTGACCCCACAGGTCAGTCCCTGTGAAGTAAATTGTGATCTCACTCTGCTCTGGACCCACAGCAGTGATGAAGAGAAGGGAATTATTTGCAGGGAAAAGGCAGAACAGGAGCACAGAACCACTTGAACAAGCCTATTTTAAACTTCAGAAACTTGGTTTTTATCCCCTTCTCTGCCCAGTCATGGACTGTTCAAGTCCATGGTCAGGTTCAGGATAACAAACACCATCCCGTTCAGGTTCAGGTTGTAGCTGAAATTATCATTTTCTTGTTATAAGAGGCTTCAGCAGGAGGAGGAAAAACACCCAGAGTGGCAGACACAACTTGCCAAAAGGTCCAGGGCAAGGCTGAATCCCAAGAAATCACGAGCACATCAAAAAGCTCCACACCCCATGTCCTGCACTCCAGGTTTGGATCTCCAAGCTGCCTTTCCTGCAACACAGGGCTCTGTTCCACATCATCCATCACAAATCCAAGGTGTCCCCACTCTGCACTATCCTCCAGCACAGGGAGCAAAGAGAGAAGAACCAACCTTTGTGGTTCCCAAACCCAAGGGAGTTCCAGCTCCGAGGAATCAGCAGCAGAAAGGGAGGCAAAGGAGGGAGCGCAGCAAGGAATTACAATTGCTTTGAAAACTTCCACCCTGACAATCCTTTTCAGCCCAAAGTACGTCTCTGCCACCCAGACAAAGTCTCAAAGAAAAGGTCAAGGATGTCCTGCACTAAGGAGTGATTTATCTTTCTAAGGAAGGATGGATCCAAACTGACTTTTCCATAAGGAAAGTGCAACCTTTGAGCTGGGGGACAGACATGGGATGTTCAGTTCTCAACCCTTGGCCTCTCTGCTGAGCCTGGGAACAAGATCAGGGATAAAAATGCAAAATAACCCAATTCTGAAACGCACAGCCTGTTCTGGATCTTTCTGAGTCCCTGCCCAGCAACCCTGAGAGAGGAGCAGACACCACCTGAGACATCACAACCACCCCCAGACACCACCTGAGACACCACAACCACCCCCAAACAGCACCTGAGACACCACAACCACCCCCAGACACACCGGAGACACCACAACCACCCCCAAACACCACCTGAGACACCACAACCAGCCCCAAACAACACCTGAGACACCACAGCCACCCCCAAACACCACCTGAGATACCACAACCACCCCCAAACACCCCCTGAGACACCACAACCACCCCCAAACAGCACCTGAGACACCACAACCACCCCCAGGCCCCTTGAGCTGCTGTTGCACAGTTACCTCTTCATCCTCATCCTCATCCTCAACATCCAGGATTCCCGAATCTTGCTCGGACATGGGGCTGGTGTTCTTCACCTCCAGGTCGGAGCTGGCGCAGAATTCCTTCTTGGATTTCTTCCCCCCGCTTACCCTGGGATGCTGGGACACGATGTTGTCCAGGTTTCTTTGTTGCTGTGCCTAGGGGAAAAAAAAAAAAAAACAACAAAAAAAACACAACCCATTTCACCTTTTACCACGGTATCCTCACACTTAATTTTGCTTTTTGGGCCAAAAGATTCCTGCCCCAAAATAAAGACAAACGAGGGAAAAAAACCCAACGCGCACTTAACGGAATTCAGACCCTGAGCCAGATATTCCAGAGAAACAGAGGGCTCGTTTCAAAACCCTTTCCAGGGGATTATGCAACGATACAAACAATATTCTGCCTCTTCACAAATCCAAATGCCATATTGATCTATTTACAGCCCAGATGCAGGAATATTAGCCCACGGGCCATGTGGTGACTGTCACAGGCTGAATTAAAGGACCTACTTAACCGCTGGATTTGTTCCTCTTTTCAACCCATGTCAGCACAAAACATTCCACATCTGGACCCCAGAGGTCCCTGAAAGCATTTTTGTGGTACCCCAGGAGAGTTTAATTGCAGTTGCTGATGTACAGAACGAGCTGTAAAAGGTACTGAGCGAAAAAGCCGCTCGCCGGGAGAAGCCCCGGGATCGCGGGAGCAACGCACGCGGAGTCGGAAGGGGGGGGATATTCCAGGTTTTCTGGGGGGGGTTGGGGTTTTTTGGCGATGGGGGTCAATGTGTGGGACCTGCTGCGTGAAGTCACTTGGTTTCCTCATTGTTATCCAGCACAATATTGACGGGAAAAGCGGTTCAGCCCCGATTGTTCAAGAGTTGACCAAGAAGTTCGAACCGAAGGGGAAGGACAAGGAGCGGGATCAGCACGGGGACACGAGTGGCACAAGTGCCAAAGCCTGGCCAAAATAAAAGGGAAAAGGCCAAGCCAACCAGGACAAAGTGGGTTTATGTCCTGGTGTAACCAGAAAACAAACACTCTGCAAACCTGGAATTTACAGGGGTTTATACCCACAGATTTTGAGGATCCCTCCCATATTTTTGTAGGAATTTTTGATGTATCAGAAGAAAGGTGTGCGGAAATCAGGGAGTGGTTTGGGTTGGAAGGGACCTGAAAGATCATCTCATTCCAACCCCCTGCCCTGGGCAGGGACACCTTCCACTAGCCCAGGTTGCTCCTGGTCACTCTGGAATTCTGTGAGGTGGCAAAAGGGGACCATTCCCTGTCCCACAGCCCGGATTTTAAAGGAAGAAGGGAAACCACAAACCATATTGGAGATATGTTGTCAGCGACACCAACCACACAGGGAAACCAAAGGAGGATTAAAACAAATGGAACCTTTTCAAAATTCCCAATTACTTTTGCCACCTGAGCTGCAGAAAGGAGAAAGATCCATCTAATGTGCAAACCCCCACAATTATTTCCTTTTAAACACTTAAAAAGTCTTAATACGACCCCAAAATAATTTATGAGCAGCCTCGAACTCCCTTTAGAATCCCTCCTGATCACCTGAGTAGTTCCTACATCTCAAGAATATTAAAATATTAAAAAGGACATCAAAACCCAAGCGCGGGAGGTCTTATCCCTTGAAAATCCACCGCTGTGGGACGTGAACATGCAGCTGGCTTCATCTTAATTAACAAACGTGGCAAATGACGACAAAATTCAATATATAAAGCTGACACTGGACGTGGCTGCACCAGGAATTGCACCAGGAACTGCACCAGGAATTGGAGCTAACCCTTAGCAGAGCTATCCCACAGCACAATCTTGACCTCTAGTGGTCGGAAAGCAGCAGGATCCTCGACGTTCCCTACAAGTGCTCCTACAAGACAAGCACCAGCTGAGCAAGGGGACTCCCAACCAGGCTTATTAAAAAGATCTCCGAAGGGATGAGCCTCAACAATGGGGATTTTTTGCAACAGAAAGCCCCGGGAAAAGGTCTGGGTGGACGCCGCCGAAGTTACAAAGTTTGCGACCGACGTCAGGACTCGAAGCAATTTGGTGGGGGGGGGGAAAGTGGGTGTTTTGTGCATTGGAAACCTCCAACTTCAGAGGCACAGCTCTATAGAAAGCCATTGCAACACCCTATAAAGGGAATTAGGACTTCAAAAAAGGGGAGGGAGCCGTTTGGTCCCTCTGAAGCTCACACAACAAAGAGCCGGGGCTCGAGTCCACCCTCGGATACACCCATTTATGACATAAGTTTCCCAACTGAAGCGCAACGAGGTTGTAACTCTGAGCCCACTGTAAATTCCACCCGAAGCGAGCCCGGCGCGCTCATTAAAAAATCCCCAATTTATGTAATCTTTCTTCTTCTTCTAGAAAGGGAAGAAATCAAAGAGTGGGAAAAACGCCGAAGTCTTGGATAAAACGCCGCACTCGAAACGGATCATTAACCAGGGCGGAGCTGAAGAGGCGGCCATGGGAGAGGGAAAATTTGGGATAACGAGCTGAGCTCCACTGCCCAAGCCCTCAGCAACTCTCAGGCTGAATTTAGTGTCACCAGACGACCTCACAGAACCCCAGAACAGGCTGACTTGGAAGGGATGCACAAGGATCATCGAGTCCAACCTCATGGATATTTTCTCCAAGGATATGTTATCTTGGTCCCCATCTCTTTTCCAACAAGGAATGTCTTCCTTCAGCTTCATCTCTGCTCAGAGGAGGACAGCAGTACACTAAGTATCTACTGACCAGGTGGCAATGTCAGTAAGATCCAAAGCAAATCTTAAAAGGATTTAATTAATTCTGATTATTTAGAAAACCCCGAAGTCAAGAAAATGTGTCTTCCCAGGCCAGAGAGCTCCACGTGAAATTCAAACACCACCTTTTGATTTTGCACTTTTAATGCGAATACAACTGAGGTTTATCGAGAGAATTTTGACCTGAATTAAAGTCCAAGGACCAACTGGGAAAATCTAAGAATCCCAGAATGGTCTGGGTTGAGAAGGGACCTTAAAGATCATCTCGTTCCACCCCCTGCAATGGACAGGGACACCTTCCACTAGACCACGTTGCTCCAACCTGGCCTTGGACAGTTCCAGGAATCCAGGGGCAGCCACAGCTTCTCTGCCCAACCTGTGCCAGGGCCTCCCCACCCTCTGAATGAAAATAAAGGACAAAAATACACATCCCAAATCCCAGATATCCACAGGAAGCAGCCATAGGATGCTCCCAGTAGCACAAAATCTTCTGCGCCCACCAGGAGCAATTTTTACCTTTGGGAACCTTCACCTTTAGGAAGTTGTAGGGAGGGAAAAGTTACAAATGAGAAGAGATTTTTTTCCAGGGATTTCTACCTTACAGGGCAACAGAAGTGACCCAGTGGATGTTTGCTCCCTTCCAGCACACCGGGAATGTCACATTCCATACCCCCAGCTCGCGGAGCCGCCGCTCCGTCCTACGATGGGCACGGCCCTGAGGGGTTGGGGTGACCCACAACCAAGGTGTGACGCTGGAACAACCCAACCTCCGCTCCAGAAGAACCAGTAATTGCTTTTCCATTACCGGGAGGGCATTTTCCCTGCCCCCCACATTCCCGGCAGGAAACAATCTGGACTTGAAGTGACCTAAAAGTGAGAAATATCGAATTTTCTTTCAACTTCGGCGGCGTTGGGTGAAGTCACCGAGGTTTCAGTTTCACCCTGAGAGAAAGGCAGAGCTGGGGTGAGGCCCAGAGGAAGCAACCACGGAGAAATTGGGGTTTAACAGCCCAGGAACTCCCCTCTCTCCCCCCTTCCCCCCCCAGCTCGTTCCCCACACCTTCCCGGCGCAAGAGATTTGACGTCGCACGTAAAAGGATGAAAAATGACCTGCAGAGGAGGCACATTTGGGGTTTTTAACGTCCTGTTTCGCATCAAGGCATCTGTGGGGAGCCCAGTGAGGAGCCACGCTCGAGGGAAACCACATCAAAGCCCGGGTGACACTCCCGACGTGCCCTCTGGAAACGGAGGGACCTGGGGCTACGGGGAGGAGGCAAAAAGTCTTCAGGGGAGTAAAAAAAAAATCAAATTTAAAAAAAAAAAAATCAAATAAAAAATCCCCCTTCCCTTTTGGTGTGGTTTACATGAAAGCAAGTGCATTCTTGTGTTATTCTGTCAAATGGCCTCCATCACTCAGGACTATCAATCTCTGGGCTCTGCTTAATGTGACGATAAAACAAAAGGTAAGAACATCCCCCCCCCAAGTCTGTTCGTGGCTAATGTTCCACTGAGCAATGACACACTGAGTGTTTGGGTCAGGGAGCTCAAGTTCCCCCCCAGGCACAGCTACTTTCTTCATCCACAGCAGTCTGGCAGAGCAGGAACATCCCACACCGCTCTGCCATGGGAGAAATCCCAGTCCCTGACAGCAGCTCTGCTCCCAGACTAGTTGATGGAAGAAGCAAAGGCAGCTTTTCACCTCCAGGGTCAAGTTTAGGTCAGTGACCGACTTTTGCAGCTGTAACCAGACCAAGGTTGGCCATTGGGAAGTCCTGGAGAGCTTCTAGGAGACCTTGGAGCAAACCAGTCCAGTGGAAGGTGTCCCTGCCCATGGCAGGGGGTGGAATGAGATGGGCTTTAAGGTCCCTTCCAACCCAAACCATCCAAGATTATGGAACTCATGTAACCTGTACATCACTCCATCAAGTGCTTTTGGGGTTTTCCTGTCAAGCCTGTCCTATAAGAGTCCTAAATACAAATTCCCAGAGAAGCTGTGGCTGCCCCTGGATCCCTGGAAGTGTCCCAGGCCACGTTGGATGGGATTTGGAGTAACCTGGGCTAGTGGAAGGTGTCCCTGCCCATGGCAGCGGGTTTGGAATGAGATGGTCTTAAAGGTCCCTTCCAACCCAAACCATTCTGTGATTCTAAGCCCTCCATAGGAAGGATTTTCCTCAAGATTTCAGGACTCAATCCCGAAACAGTCGGAACAGCAACTCCCCCTTCCCCACCCACCACAACTCACCCGAGCCAACCCAACCAACCCAGCTCACAGACCCAACATTCTGCAGGAGGAACTAAAGGTGCTGCCTTAAAACATCAGTGACAGGTTACATTTGAATGTTTTGTGGGTGAATTTGTCACAGTTGGATTTTTCCAAGGAACTCAGCTGCC